TTTTTTTTTTTTCCTGAAGGCACCAAATATTGATATAGAGAAGGAAAAAGCGGATCAGAAAGTGGGAGATCAAGAATCACAAGAAGCGTGGAAGGACGCGCTTGCATCCTTTAAACAAGAAGCCTTGAAAATGCTGAGCATATCGAAGGACGCATATGAGTTGTATTCTGAAAAGGCTTTGATCATTTTGAAAGAAACATCTGAAAGTTTGAAAATTCAAGCAGAAAAGGCCGGGCAGGAATTGGCTGCGGAGGCAAAAGTAAAAGCTGAAGAGAGTAAAGAATACTTGGCCACAGCTCCTGAACCAGTCAAGGATGTTGTTGATACCCTTGCTTCCTTACCAGATGAGTCCAAGAATGTGGGTAATATGCGGGAGTTTTATGTTGGGATACCTTATGGTAAGTATATAAGGGCAGACATCCAATTTTTATTTGTAGAAACACAAGCAAAAAAAGGCCATATTTTTCTCGAACACTGTTTCTTAATAAACATGAAGATTACATAACCGAAAATTTTGTGTTTCATCAGGTATTCTTCTTTCTGTTGGGGGCTTTATTTGGTTTATGATTACGGGAAGCATTCCTGCAATCAGATTTGGTGTCATACTTGGTGGTACTCTCTTGGCCTTGAGTTTATCAAGTTTGAGATTGTGGAAAAAGGGTGAAATTTCGCCCATAATGCTGGCAGGACAGACAGGTATTCTATTGTATTTGACTTTTCTGTTGCGGCTTTATTCATTTCTTGGTAGTGTCATGGAATTAAAGAATTATGGTCATCTACCTCATTCAAAAGCAGAATCAGAATCAGACAGATTGTACTTGTTACCTCTGTGATTTTTCTTGAACTGTTGGAAAATAACTTTTCTTCTACCTCTTATTTTCCCTAAACCTTCCATTCTATCTGCAGCTATTGTGACCATCTTGCTTCTTAGAGAACTGCGCTTGTTTTGCTCAGTAAGATAATCTCCAACTCAATTTGGGAAGTGAAGCTTAGATTAGTGACAAGCCATGTACCTCAACTATTCTAACTTCCTCTTTTTTTTTTTTTTCGTTTCGTTTGCAGAGGCCATCGTGCATTGGCAACATTGTTTCAGTTTTTGTCAGGTTCAAATTCCAATGCAGACATCGATATCTGCATCGATATTGAAAAGCTTCTTCTTTTCCTTTTTTGTTTTGTCTTTCATCTTAAGATTTTCTTGTACTCTAGCGTAATAACTGAAGCTATTAACAGCTAGTTTTTACTGTGCAGTCTCGGAGTGTTTCTATTCTACAGCTACAAGTTGTATAAAGATGGAGGATGGAGGGCATCGTTTCCAAATATCTTCCCGGAAGATTAATCCTCATGCTGATATGTGTCGCATTCACTATTAATGTATTTAATAGTGAATGTTACTAGAGTCTCCAGAAACGAGTTATCTTGGACTTCTGCCACACACAACTAGCTATTGCCATTGAGAGTTACCTTGAGATTCGGGAGTTAAAAGTTATTACTTGTTAGGTAAATCATTGAAGTTGATGTATGTAATGAAGTTCTTGTTTGAATGAATACAAACATATGCTTTTTCGCTCTTCACAAGCAGCTTTCTTTGCGTTGAGACTACTTGGTTTCGTGATGTATTTCTCTCTATTCTGTTCAGACCTTTCAATCAACATTAAAAATGCACCATTTGGAACCAATGATCAGCTTTACATGTACATGCCTCCCAAATGAAGCCTCATAAAAGTAGAGAAATATCCACATTAATGGAAAAAGATCATCCATGGAAAATATCCCACAAAAACGGGAGTTTATTATAAAGGGTAGTAGTCAACATGGACTCTATACATGAAAATAAGGTTTGCTTACATCTGTAGAAAGTTATAGAATTACATAGACGAACGCGGCAAACACCCCCACAAACCGAATATTGCAGGTGATGAAGTGACTTTTTATTTTGATTTTCAATTTTCCTCGACCTTTCTTAAAAATTTAGACATGTCTAAACATTCCCCTGAGTCGTGTGACTGTGAGTGGGAAACTCCCCTTGATTGTCCAGTGGCATGTACTGCGCCATGATTGCCCGAATCTCAGAGTCCATGTACCGCTGCATAAAACAGTCGATGCCACAATTATTCTTCATAACAAAATGAAAAGACAAACATTACGAATACGAGGAATAAAATCCCTAAGGACAGTATCATTTTTTGTTAACCAGAAAGCATAGACTATCTATCGAGATCATTTTATAAACCAAAACCGTGTGAAGGTTTAAACATGAAGGGAAAAAAAAAAAAAACATCCCGTCTGATATCCCTTTGTTAAAACAAAATCTGATGCTTACCCGGATTCTATACTTGTACAGTGCATACCCTGAAACTCCTGCTACAGCCAAACCGAGAATAATCACCCACACAAAGCTCCAGCTATAGTGTGCAATAGATTCTTTACCTGCAAACCCACTAAGGTTAAATTTTGATCTCGCAATTATATAAACACAGGATAAAATGCGTACCAATATGCTTCTCAATTCTCAAATGACTTGAGAATTTTTATACCACATGATAATATATATATACACACACACAAACACACACACACACACACACACATATATATATATATATATATATATATATATTGGGCCAAATATTACCTATACACGTGTCATGTTCATGTATGTATAGTAAATTGTTACTGCAACTGCACTCAAAACTCCCCCAAGTATTCCTGCATTTGCACTCTGGGCACTGGCAAGCCAGCTTTTCCTTGCATTCATCGATATCTAAGTGGCATTCAAATTTCAAGAACCAAGTTAGCCACTTTAAAACGTAATAGTCCGTACCACGGCCATCGCACATTCACCTCATCCGCTCGAATGAATTATCATGTTACCTTCGCAGCTATTAACTCCATCACCCTTGAAACCTGCCGGACACTTGCAGCCTTTTGTATGGTCGTCCTGAAATTAGTTGGCCAAATTCAAAATTACACAGCACCGTGAGAACAAGAATATTATATATTAAAAAGGGAGGGGATTAAACACAATTTGATGTGATGTGTTGGTGAATCTCACAACGCATGCAGAATATGTTCTTCCGTCTTTTGTTCCCTTCCAACATCCTCCATTGTTTATTTCACATCTCAATGCACCAGAAGCTGTCAAACCAAAAGGGGAAAATAGTTAATTTTCTTTCCAATTGATGTCTTGTTCGTTTTGATCAAAATAGTTAAAAAATTTAAAGTGGCCTTGTAGTGATGCATCAATAATTACCTTCACAATGAGTATAACCATCACCAACGAATTTCACACCCTGCACAATGGGGCACTCGCATACCTTTCCCCGGAAAGTATCCTGTAACGAACTCTCAACCCGATCAGATAGAAGTTATATAGCAGCAAAAAGAATGAAGTGAGTTTAAAAAAAACTTAGTTAGTACCCTGCAAGCAGTAATGTTGGCAGCCTTATCCTGCCAGCATCCACCATTGTTCTCCAAACATTCATTTGTTTCAATATCTGTGTCCACCAACATAAGAAAAGAAGGATCGACACATATAAAATCAAATTAGTAATTTCGAGCTTGATGATATTAGCAAGGGCAACTCAAGTTCTTAGCATTAACAGAACAAAGTAACAATAAGGAAAAAAAAAAAACAATTACCTCTGGTCAAACAAATGGCGGGTTCTGTAGTCTCCTCAAAACCTGAACAAATGGCCCTGAGAACTGCTCCCTTCTCCAGCTTGCCTGAAAAGAAGAAAAGATTAAATCAAAATCCCATCACATTCTTTTCACTTATGGATTTGGAAGGTAAGTGGGGGTTTCTATTTTCTAACAAAATGAAATAAAAATTACCTCTATACTGTCCATTGTTCACAACAAGAGTTGGCAAGATAGTAACATCTCCTCGTGAGCCCTTCCCTATCTGAGCCCACAAAAGTGCCATTGATTAGTCAATATCTCTCATCAAGCCTGTCACCAAAGTTCACATGAAAAACATAATAAGGACTAAAAAAAAGGCTACAAACACCTGTGATTCCTGTTCCGCTTTTAGAATTGGGTTATCAACATCTGCCTCAGTGTCTCCAACACATTCGTCTATCTTCTTAACATCAACGCCTGCACAAAGGCATTAAATCAATGAGCAAGTAGCTCATTATGCAATGATATTATGACACGATACTAAATTTGGCAAATGCAAAGTGAAAGATTAAATCTTGCAAACTAGAATCAAGATTTGACTACTAACCAAATACAGGAAATTAGAAAAAAGGGCCTACCAAGTGCACGGATGACTTCATCTGCACACTCTTTCGTGTACTTCTTATCCTTCATCGGGCAACGGATCGAAAAATCGGTCACATAGTCCCACCATAGCCACGGTTTCCCACTCTCATTCGCCACCTTATAAAAGCATGCCTGGCGTAGATTCTGCACCACAACATCCTTCCCATCATACCCTCTGCTGAAATCCTGCTCGGGATCCGGAGCACAATACCTCCCATGATTTATGCACTGCGACTTACACTGCTTGCTCAGTATAAAAGCTTCAGGACAGTACCAAGTTATGTAATGCGGGGTGAACTGAGTGTATCCTTTCTGCTCGAGTATTTGGGCAGCCCCTTTGAAATCCCTGACAAAATTCAACTGGGCATCACATTTGGGGCCACACTCGTCATTGCTATTGGTCCAGAGCTCGTACTCGACACGCTCGTCTGGATGAGGGAGAGCTTCTCTCCAGTCGAGATTTACGCTGACCATACCCCCATTAGCTAGTTCCTTTTTGATTTTGTCACCAAGGTCCTTGGTGATGAGAGCAGAAGGAATAGTTATGTTTTGCAGGTAGTCTGCACGAGCGTCCTCTTCCTCGGGGGTGTCCATGGTGATAAGAGGTTCGACCCGATCATCGGCCACGAGAATAGCTGCAGCCCCACCTTTCTGAGCATTCCACGCTTTCAGTGTGAAAAAGCAATCTGCCAACCACACACACATGTAAAGAAGTTTACTAATTGCAGATCACGGGGAATTGCTACAAAAAGTTTTAAGCAGCAACTTGAGATTCCATAACAAAAAATAAAAAAGCTCAAATTTGGACATCCGTTCAACTTGGATGAGTTGGGGCTAAGAAATTTTTCTTAGCTACTCGATAGAATGAAGAAATTGAGAAACTTTTTGTACCTCCTCTGTCAGCAAGTAAGAAAATTGGAATGCCACCAGGCTTATGCTTAAAGGCAACATCGCCATCGTCGAAACTCTTGCACGCCTTGTGGTTCGATTTGGGGTACAAGACAGTTCCGACCATTGTACCTCCATACTCGGGAACCCCAAAATTCCCAATTGCACATTCGTGAACTCCTTTCAGCGAGTCGGGTGACGTAATCTTCAAACTGTTCTTCTCAACTACAAATCTCGCCAAACAAGACCCAAGGAGCGCAAACCAGACAAAGACCCAAATTCCAAATTTTTCCCTCATTTTTCTTCGACCAAAAGGAAAAAAAACGGTGAAGCAGATAACCCAACTTCGGATAAACTTGTAAAGACTCGAACTTTATACCTAGGTAAGCAAATATCTCAAGCAATCTATGTAGCAAACAAAAAAAAAAAAGTAAATATGGCCTCAGATCCTCAACACCGTCGGTCGAGTAGAGATATATATATATGTGTAATTTTTATTTTATCCCTGAAAGGTAAAGACAGCAGCCGGGTAAATATTACATGGGAGCTAGTTGAGAGAGGGAGATAGATTCGGACTTCGACACGTTTCCTGCCAGTTGATAAAGTCTTCAACACTTTTAATCTGGAAAATAGAAGCAAGGTTTTACAATTATATTTCGGATGTGTTTTCTATCAGTGAGATATTATTATTATTATTTTTTTTTTTTTACTCTATGTGCTATGTGTGGTTTTACAAGGGTTTTTCACCATGAAAACACACTATGTATTAAAATAAATCTCATTTGATAGGACGAGTTTTTTTAAAAAGGTCGAGCTTATTTCATAAGCTACTTTAAGTAGCTTTTCAAATAAGCTCTAGCTTATCATCTAATTTAACGTCTTTTATCATATAATATAAGTCATAAGCTATAAGTTATAAACTCAAAAAATTACATATAGCTTATCAGCTATCAACTAGCTTATCAGCTAGTTTTACCAAACATAGCTTATGTATTCCACTTGATGACTACAGTATAATTATCAACAATCTATGTGTATGTTAATTCAATGATAAAAAAAACTCTGATAATTATATGTATAATTTATGTGTATGTTAATTCAATGGTAAAAAACTCTGATAATTATATATACATATAGGGTGATGTGTTGTATTTTAATTATTTTATTTTAAATATTATTTTTAATACATTATTAAAATTTCATTAACAACTAATCATATTAATTTTTTTAAATTAATTATAATTAATCGAAATAACTCATTTTGAATGAATTAATTAACAAAGAAGCGTGCCCTAGGCCTCATGGACTATTTTGGAAGTTTTATTTGGGTTGTCTTCATATGGTAGACCACATGTCTTAGATTGATTAAAAAAAAAAACTTCTTATTTTATTTATTTATTTATTTATTTTTTCACTTCTCTCACAAAATTGAAATCCAAATCACAGAAGCTGACATATTTGTTTCCAAAACACCTCATAAAACAATTTGCACGTGAAAAAAAAAAAAAAAAAAAAAAGTTGGCTATTTGCAATCTTTATTATTTCTATGCTATGCATTTTGGGCCTACATAGCTTTGTGTGTTCATATTGAACACAAACTCACACCACTACTTTATGGGTTCATATTCATAGATGGTAAAGAAAAAAGACCCATCTTTGGTGATATGTTTACACATAACAATACTGATGCAAATGATTTGTTTCCCGTGCTCTTTTTTTTTTTTTT